CCGAACAGCCATCGCCCGCCCGCCCACAAATGGACGACCGTACCTGATGCTCGTATTGCTTCATTTGCTAAGTAAAATATGACGCGAAGGAATTGGTATGGAGCGATATTTGGGTATATACGTGCACACGTACCTACCGTAGCGGTTATTGGCAAGATGCCTACGGGAAACTCGTCCGAAATTGCTTTTTGAGTCATTAAGAACGAAGGCTTTTCTTCGCAGGTTTTTGACCGTTTCACTTCGTTTTTTCGCCATTTTCCCCACTATATAGCGCCCTGCTAGCATTTTAGGCCGAGTACCAAATTATCGTGCCAACTGCCTTTACAAGGCGCGGTCGAACCTGGCTTGAGACAATTTTTTCCATTTATGAGACAACTTTATTAGGTTGTTGACTTTTTCCCCTCACCCTTCCCTCACCCCTCCCTCGAATACGGCAGTTTTTTTAGGGGAGCTGTGGAATTTTTTGAAAGAGAGTAAGGTGGTGGAAAAGGTGGGTCGTAGAGGACATTTGGGGGATGGCACTTTCCCTAGCGACAGGAAGTGCCCTGTTCTCAAAGCGTTTTCTGTCTGCGGTTCAATAAGCGAATCGTGGAAGAGGGAGAGCAGTGCACTAGTTAAAGCCGTTGCGTCGCAGCTCTGGGATCAGGTTTCATTGAGTAAACTTAGTCTTCTAGCTCTGACCATAAGAGGAGCGTACGACCGACACCTCGCGACTGAGAAAAATCGGCGAACAGTTGAATTGGTGGGATCTGCCACAGGTAAGCGTATCGCTCTGGAAACACAGGACTACAGAACTGATTTATCAGTTCGTATTTAATCCATTCTGCCGATATGTATACTTTTCTTTTTGTGGATTCTCTGATTCTCCCACTCCGCGACGCTACGGTTACCTCAACGTATGGATGTAAACAGTTCCTTATTTGATGGGAGAGTAAAGGATAAAAGGATAAAGTCCGCCGTTAGTCAGTCCCTTTATTTGATGCGGCACGCATTCTAGCCACCACTTAGAATTGTAATGCCACTGAATGCGATGGGACCTACAGTGCTCATCCCTTCCCCACCCAGTCTGGTACCAGTTCACCGTTTTGGAGGGAAGAAAGCTTGGTCGTTGGGACAAGAGCCGATCCAGGTCTAATGTATCTCATGTCGTTATCAAAATTGACAATATTACACTTTTACCAATTCAGCTCCACGTGCACCACAGATTAGCTCTCAGTGAATTGAAGAAACGTATGGGGGATATCAGGCAGGCATATCGGACACCACTCATTTTGTCCGTT